TATATATTTACAATATTCGATCCATTGCTCTTATATCCTAGGAACATCGAGTAAGTAATGCAGTTGTTAAGAAATGGGTACTAAGTAAGGATGGTAAGTCGACTGATGAAGTATTGGAACGTCACCATCTGAGATGACTGGGACACGTGTTATTTATGCCCAAATCCTAATCTTCTGAATTCTTCATATCCTTTTATTTTTTCTCTTTCAAAATTCATTTCACTGGATTATACTCTTTGAATAACATCATCAAACCCTAATCTTTCCGACCACTACTTATACTCTCACTACCTCTACCACTACAGGATTTGAATTGACAATTGTTTCTAAGTGCTAATGTCGTATGGTAAGTCGAACTGATGTACGTACGTATGAAGTTCTACGCTGTTACTGACTGACTGACTGACTATGACATTTATTTACACCATCGCTATACTATACTACTATGTCTGTAATATAACCTCGAACCGAACCCTCTCATGTAAGTCATTTAAACCTATTATATTATAAATATCACAAGATGTAAGCAACTGACAAAAACCAAGTAAAATAAAATGAATTCATACTATTCTGTTAGAATCTTTATTCTTAATCTTCTCAAAACACTAATAATTAGATTTAACTTACAGTATTATGTTCTGTTATTTTCGTTATATTGGCAATTGAAAATTGATCCTGTAATTGTTTTAATAAGCTATGACCTTGAGATATTAAATCCGCGAAATTCAAACTTGATGGATTATTTTTTATATTATCTCTAAAATAATTTGCTGTTTTAATAGTACCAAATTTATAAGATAATCGTCTTAATAAAATCATTAATTCTGGTGTTGTTATGATAATATTTAATTGATTAGTTAATTTATTTTGTTTTAAATAATCATCAATTGATAAACATTTTAAATGATTCAATTGATGATATAAAGTATCCATGAAGATTTTATTGAACACTTTGATTACACAATAAGTTGGTTACAAGATAATGTTGTGTTTCTTTTTTCTGCTTATATATATATCTCTCCAAAGAATAAATTTTGTACTTTATTGTTGTTTTGTTTCTAAGGGATTATTTATTGAATGGGGGTGGTAGGGAGTTATGTTGAAAAGTACTTAACAAGTACATTAGATATAAGAGAATTTTGGAAAGGATATAAATCATCTGATTATATTGAATAAGCAAGGTAATATAATAGACAAAGTATATTAATTGATCATTTGTTATCATATGGTAGTTTATAATGTGAACAATAGAAACAATTTAAAAAGATTTCAAAAATATAAAAAGGAATAAAGTATTATATTTAGAATTTGATTATTTCATATTGGTATTCAATGATATAGACCAATAGGTGCTGGTCTAGAATTTTGCGGGGCGGTATTGTGGATGTGCACTACTGAAGAGTCCCACAATAGGACGAAACAACTGTCCAGTGTTTCCATGTTTTCCATGGTGGTCTAGCTTTAATTGACTCATGATCTCAACGATTGAAATTTATATTTTATTATTTCATCATATAAACACCCTACAAGGAACTATTCAACTTGTGAAGATATAAGCCAGTAAGAAAATATAGTAGTGAGAATGTTTTAACAAATTGTAGTACTGTAGTACATGAGAACACAAGTGGGGACTAATGGAATGTATGTTAACATAAAATCACAGATTCTGTTAGTAAAATCTAAGAACAATATAGTAAATAATTTATTTACAAAATGTCAGTCAATCGTCTCAGAATTTACTGTTCCTTCATTTCCACAGCAATCATTTTTCTCCTTCCATCTTAATAACCTTCTGCCTCCAAGCATTTCATCACATTTCATAATATAAATTAAGATTTCTGTTTGTTTTAAAAGATACTTTGATGATTGTGGATCTGTAAAATTCCCATCCTACAAGTGCATTTCGTGCTTCGTTAGAAGGCATTACAGTAACTTTCTGAGTGTGTGTAGCGTTTTTCTTATCGTGTCCAAAGTATAGCAGCATCACATCTAAAACTTTCTGTTAAGCTTGAGACCAATGGATTTCGCTGATTCTTAGTACTGTCAAATTGTATCTTCTCGTTTCCGTTGCTGTTCAACTGGCCTTCACGACTTTTCATATAGTTTGGACGTTCCATGTACCTTTAAAAATGATTGCTCTAGTTATTAGAAAGAAGCATCAGTCTAACGGCTTCCAAAGAAATTCGTCTTCATTATGAACTGTTATAAATCTTCTTAATGAAGACCTCACTCAAAGGGCTGAGTTTGAATGGCTTTAATTATTTTTTCTAATTATCGATTTTAAAGCGAATTAGTTTTTCTGTAGGATAGGTCACTTACCCGATGATCAACGTCCCTTTTTTTTACCCGTGCATAAGAAAAACAGCAAAACCAGGAAAGCTTCAGACGGAATTCTCACTTCCGTACTTCTTATTTTATTGTGTTATTTCAGGTTCGTATGTTATAGATCGGTATAATGAAATGAAGAAGTGATAAACTTTATTGGTGACATAAACATCAACTAATCGAATACATCATTTTCATATAAAATTTTAAGGTGAAAATGAGAAGGTTATAGAACACTTAGAATCAGTCTTACACTGATAATACAACCGTTGAAGTATATTAGGTATTTGTTACTTTTGAAATATTAAAGAAGGTTTGTAGAACAGGTAAATTATTTCAATGAAGTTTTGTTCTTTGAGATGGATGGTTTGCTTGTGGAACTTATATTGTACTTCCGAAAGAAATCATCAGCAGTAATTTCAGGTACTAATAGCAAATAGTTTGTGTTCCATTGACTTTTACCATCCAATAATAAACTATAGTCACTGCTTCATGTTAATTTCTGATTTCAAACACCGTTGATACGTTTGAAAATAATGGTAACAAATATTGTTTATTAACGAAGCCAAGCCACTACACTTTAATCGTCACGATAATAGTTTAAATAGTTTGCGAACTATGAATTTCTAATTAGAATATGACTTTTTCAATCCTCATTATAACGTGTCAAATAAGCTATCATTGTCTTATATTATCAACCAAACTGTTTTGATACCATTTAAGTATTCAAATTCAATCTTTGATATCGTCTGATTAAAGTGTTTTGTTTCTTTTCTCTCTCACTCGGTAACTCAGTTAAATTTATCTTAAAACATCAATATGTCGACACAGTATTCAATAGAAAAAGCAAGCAGTCAAGATTATCTATAAATTTTATATATTATAAATATACATGTTTCATCTATAATTTTGTCATATAAAGATAATCCGTGGACATGTAACAGCATAGATTGGTTGTTTAAGAGTTGACCTTAAACAACCGAGCATATTCCAATACAGTATAGTTCAAGTATTCATTCATTTCCTTATTTTGCATGAGCGCTATATTTCCTATTATCTTATATTGAATGAATTTTATTTGATCCAATGGCATGACTAGACCATGCAGGTGTGGTCACACTGGAATGTTACCTTATATCTTCTACTCATATTAAATATATTGTTCGTTCTCTAGCCTAAGCTTGTTCTTCATCAAGTATTGGTAGTTGTTACGATACAGTAAGTTGGTGTAGACGAAGATGTGACTTCCACGTGAGATCTTATAGATAAGGCAGTTATATCATGACGAATCTACAATTTTAGGATTAGATCTGTTATTAAAGCAGTACTAATATCATAGTAGACTATAATTCTACACACTCATTTAATATGTATTCAAAACAAATGAACTACAATTCACAATTCACATAATTAGTGTTTTCTGTTACGGTATGATGCGATATTGTTTGTTTGTATAACTGAAATATATTATTTCTATCGCGAAGGCTGATACTGGCGGTGTGGACGTTAATTGGCTGATTTAAGAAAGAAACTATTATCCAGGTAGACAGAAACAAATGCTAGCTAACAATGTTAAGACTATAAGTGCTAACCGCTGGAGTAATCAACTTCTTTGTTTAAATTTTTAAAGTATGCATTCAAGATAGACTCAAATGACGATGAGCGTGGTCGCAATGTTCTTCGAATTCGAATACTTATTCATTAAACACAGTGGTGACGTAGATATTTGCTTTCAGTGTAACGTCAGTTACCGAGATATCGTGGAGTTATTTTGAATAAATGTTCTTAAATACAAGCGCACAATTTTCAGAATAATTGCAGCACAAACAAAGAGGTTTTAACTCACATATCAGTTGACTATCAAGCGAAAGAACGTCTCTGAATACCCTCACATTTTGTGGAGTCCTTGATAAACGACGGTCAACATGTCCACTTGTTTTCAGTGTATTTTGACAATTTAGACAAATCAGATACAAGAACAACTATCGTATTTTCAAAAAGCTGGCAATAAGGTCGATTCGCAGTCACTGAACATACTGGAGTTGAAATATATTATTCAACGAAGGCTTCATCGGGGCACATCAGAATAAAAAAGAAGGGAAATCAACAATGATGGTGAATGTGAAGTTTGAGAGACGCTAAATGCAACGTTTAAGAGAAGAAAGTTTCTTTGCCTACTTATATGTGGAAGTAAGATGTTTGATGTTGTCTGGATAACCAATGGGATCCATTATTCTCAATCAGTATCAGACTAACAAAACAATCACTGAATAATAAGCCATATGTCAAAGTCACGACACGCGTTTACATGAGAAGTTCGGTTGTTGAACGAATCATTTCAACCGATTCGGATCTTTGTAAGTTCAAGTATAAACAAAATGTCTTTAATCCAGAAATTAATACCAACAAACCATGATCTGTTTAGCAAAACATCTATTATAAATGACAGTGCACTTAACAATTATCTTCAAACTATTCATCATGAACACATATGAATATCTGTAAACTAATTAAAACAGTCAATGAAAAGCTTCGAATTATTGTGTCCAATCATATTCTCATTTCGCGGATAACAGTCGATGATTACATTTAAAGAAAATTGTAAAGCGATTACAAGTATGATATTTTCATACACCAATACAAAAACACTGTAGAGTGTTGAAATCTGTTCTCGTTCATGGTATTTCTTCAGATAATATTTTGTAAATGTCATCACCTGTGATTATGAAAACGTAGATGGTTAGTTAATTATTGGAGCATTGTTATCAATATATGCATCAGTGAAATAATAGACATGTACAGATAAAGGGTTAAGAACTTCGTAGTTTCTCAGCATTCATACATAAAAAATGAACAGTATGTAATTTGTATTTTGATCTGTCAATTATTGACAGATGATCAATAATACTTCTTAGTTCTAAATTCTACAGAAGCATATATATTTGGCAGCATAATAATCGATGGACTACGTGTAATTGCAATTGTTTATTTTTTTCAGAACTTACAATGAACATTGCGCCGCACCAACAAACCATGATTGCAACTTGTAGGCCAGTCTAAAATAATGGAAATGAAACAATTTAACTCAATTCATCATATATCTTTACAATTACTAAGAACTATTTTACCATTCGAGCGAATCATTGATAAATAACTAGTAATCATTAATCACTTCTAGTTTGTGTAAATCTTTGACTAGAAGAACTCACGGATTTTAGAATCAGCCACAAAACCATGAGAATAAATCCAGTCAAAACGAATCCACCACACATTGCAAACATGAGTATCTTCGATTTCCTTTCTGAACGATCTGGCTTTTCGCCCAAGAAAATGGCTATGATGAGGAGCAAAGTAGCCGTAGATGTAGAAATAAGTTGTTCGTACCATTGTGCGTAAAACATCAGAAATGCAGCACCGACATTTATAATGATCAACTGAATAAGGAAAAAGTAGTGTAAAATTACTATATGTTCAGAAGTTGAAACGTTCAACAACTGAAAAAATAATGAAAGACTAATCGTCACTGAATTGCATTCTGTTGAAATGCATGAAAATGAATATTCATGGTACAAGCACATAACAAGGAATGCTTATGCAAGTGTGTCATAGTGACAAACGCGAAATGATTTCAAACCGAATTCCCTCATCTTCAAAATAAGACCTTACTATGTTAGGTTTATCACCTCAACAGTGTCAAACATACTATTTGGGTAAATAAACAACTTCGACAGCTAGTAATATCTGCGACTCGAGGCAGTGAATGGTAACTTGCGTATCTTAGAACATACGTTCAGTGATGGACAAAGTGTGTGGATGACAAAACAAATAAAAATGACAAAAATTCGATTTTTTTTAATTTGTTCTCTGTTTACAATCAATTCCACGTCATAGAAATGCTAATAACAACAAACATAGATTAGGGCAAAATTTACCTGTGTGATGCGCATACACGTCTATATATTTCTAAATTACCAATGACATTGACTGATGTCATTTAATGTTATATGATTTTGCTCACATAACGAGGAACACTTATAGCTCACGATACAACAGAATCATTTGTGATCTGAGTTGTATACATTGACAATTTTATTTAATCATTGAAACTATAGAAACTGGATCGCTAAACTTATTGTTATTCTCAAATACAACATCGAATATCGTCTGTTAAATTCAACATTCAAGGTTTCTTTAATGTTGTTATCCATTATCAGACACACATAACAACATTTTTGTTATTCAACAAACAAAACTACTAACTGAATTTTATCGATGGGTAATTGAAAATATCATGAATATCATTTTAAACAATATTCAACTGACGGTTATCACGATGAATGTATTGTTCTTTCTGGGTGCGGTGAATAGTTGTCTATTGAATATTATGATTAATCCAAGAACTAATCCGATCAATCTGAAATATAACAGAAAGCAATGTACATTGTCACAATCTCACAAATACAACAAACCATAGTGATGTGTGTCTAATGTTCTACATAATCTGAATGCATGAAATGGTTGAACAAATTCTTCAGTGTCTCAGTTTGACATTTTCGAAAGTTTGTCAAACTTGTCGAGATAATCGATGAGTGGATTACCTGATGAGTGATAGTCCTGTTTATCTCATTTCAGATTGATCATTTGTTATAATGTGATGTAACACGAAATGAGAATGGTTTGTATTGAGAAGTCATAATATTCTTGAGAAATATGGATCAGTTGTCGTATTTCAGTGTACGATACATTTCATTAGTGATACACTAAAAATGTCGTTGTGATTTTTGTGCAATGCCTGTATTTAAAAAAATAAATTACTTACGTCATTATTAGACCACTGAGAGCAATTGGATCTGGAAAACAAACAATGCTGGATCTTTCAAATGGAGTGATAAACATCTTACGTGTAATTACAACTTATATTAGTAGTTTCGATTGACATATCACCAAGAATGGAGAAGCTGAATCTGTCAAATGGAATGACAAATGTCTTACTTGTCATTAGAAATATTCAGACACCCTGAATATTTAAAAAGCCTTTGGATGCTGAATCTGTCAAATGGAATGATAATCGCCTTACATGCAGTAATAATTAACTGTTTCTTTTGTATAATTACAATTGTTATCCGACTTCATTAATGTTAATTGAGTGAAGATTTGTGAACGATTCGCCATTGAAATTTCAGCTTTCACAATCAACAATTTTAATTTATTCTGAAATAATGAAAAATTCACGAGATGGAGATTTTCAATTTCATGTATTACATAAAACCTTAAATATTCATTCACATGGTTATTTCGTTCCTCATTCATTACTTTCACACAAGTTTGGATTCATGGACAGAACCAGAATTTCATCTGGATAGTTCGCTTTATCATCTTTACGCGAATAATTACAAAGCTGGAAAGTCGATGAAAATTGATCTCATTAGATTCACGTTAGATGATTTCCGCATATGATGTTTTGTAGTGATCAACGTTGACGTAATCATTTCAGTAATTACAATTAACCGTTTAAAAATCTAATCATCCACATAAATGATACTCAACGAAAGTATGATTCTCTCTCCATTATTCTCTCCTGTGATTTTCCGAAAAACATTTTGACGAATTGTAAGGTGTGCTGAAGGCAGTCAGTAGGGTGTATTGCTATTCTTTTGAGATTATTACAATTTCGCATGTTGCACGACATTGAAAATCTTGCAAACTGTCAAACATTGATTTCCTCCAAATTTTGTGCCATCCAATTCTTCATTATTTTTCGCCTTCAATAAGAATCTCCCTTTTCTGTTTGTAAAAAAACATTCGTTGGAATCATTTGTGTTGAGTATTATGTATTGAAGTTAGCCTATAACATTAAACTCGACTGTTGTTATTGCTACTTATAATACAACTTATCAACAAATCGAAACTCATTCTTGAATCATACCTTTTGTTAGAAATTAACAAACTCACATGGAATTATGTTCACAATAAAAATAATACAATAAAATTGCACATATATATAACGAAATACTTTAATTATTTTGAATCGTCTTTCTTCACGCATGAGTGCTTATTGCGTTCATTGAACTTTGGTTAAGTTAACTTTGTACAGAATACTAGAAAACGTGATTCGTTAGAAATAAAGCAAACTCATCTAACTGTTAGTCCACTATTTGGGAGTGAGTGATTCCACCTCGGAGTGATAATAATTCGGTCGCTTTGATGTGCTGAATGATTGAATGAAGTTTCTACAGAATAATGACGTCGGGTGAGACACCATCAAAACAATAATAATTGTCACACGTTTTTTAAACAAAATGAATAGTATTTGTTGTCGGAATCAACATATCTTCTATACCATCAGCATATACGTATTTGTGTAATGTGCTTTTTGAAGTGAGTCATTGAGGAAACCTTGACCTAGGTTTCATGTGACTACGTCGTCGTGAGAAAGCTTCAACTGTAGCCTTGAGGAGAGTGATGATTTCAATTACGTGTCTAACAGCCTGAAAATTGATGACGTGGTCACTGAAATGTAATGAGTCTTAAACAAATTATCTTGTTGATACGGTTTCATCGTCAATTCCCATTTTAATTATCCATTGTTGATATCATCCCCATATTTTGATAAATTATTCCGTCCTATAAGGTCAGTTACGAAGTTCATATTCATATAATTATTTACATGCTCTCAATTATCAATATATAGCTTCACTGCCTTGTTGATCAGAACTTAAGGTTGAACGCTCCTGGTGTGGCCTAATAAGAAATCTACCTGCTCCAGTCCGGGAATCCGAGTAGTAGGTGACTAGTGTGGCGCATATGTATTTGTTACCACCCTCCACTCGGCACCATTATGCATGTATTCAAATAAATTTCAATAAATAAATGCATTATATCTTGACTAAATGTCGAAATTCTCCATACAAATATGTATTTGAATTTGTCATATCTAAGCTGCCACAATAAAATGTCACTAATCATTGCTTTTTAGCATGAATTAGTGTTTATTTCATTGGAAAATTTGATAACAAAAGAATTGAAATGCTGTATTCTTACGTGAAGATATTACTATTATTATTTAGCGCTAGTTTTTAGAATTATTTACATACATTTTTCAACTGTTATGGCAACAAACTATACTACTGTCAACTTTGATTACGGTTAATTTTAATCAGGCGCTCAACTGAGTCACATGGCAAGACCTCATCTGGAACCATCAAGCAAGACAAAGGAAAAGAGGATGTAAAATAATACATTACATCGATAAATGGAGAGAGACATGAGAAACATTTACCAGAAGCGATGTTCCAGGACAGATTGGGTCGGAGAATGTCGGTCGAGGTCTATGCTTCATTAGGATTACAAGGAGTAGGTGAGTAAGCGAACACATTTAATAGTCATTTTGACAGACAATGTTATTTGAACAGTAGGAAATCCCATAATTATCAGTAGTTTCATGATCACCATCTTGTCTATGTAAACGTGTACGCTTCGTCATTTGATAGACTGCAGCTACGAATGTTGTACACTTCAACATTGCTCGATGGTTCATTCTATTTTTAATGTGTATGTGTATTCAATTTATATTACCAGACTTTTCCTCAACTTTCTTAGTCTTATTCGACAAAAAACAATGAAACAAACAATCAATATTATCTATTCCGTTTCTTTATTATAGATATAAATGTTTCATTTATATTTTCGTCATATAACAATAATCAGTAGGCCCATTGACTATGTATTATTTAACAAATAAATTACAGTACAACTAATTCTCAAGAAAGAATCTAGTCAATAATAAAGATTTTTCACAACTCATATGACTCATTGACTATAGCTGAACCTCAGTTGAAATACTGTAAAATATTGTAAGATCGTTTTTTGTTAGCATACAAAACTGAAGCACATATTCACGACCTACAGGCTTGCGTGTGAACGCCTGGAACTTTACCCATTAGTCCAATGTTATATCCGAACAGAAAATTATTAAATAGTAACTCTGAGTAATTATTTATGCAGCATTATATATATATATATATATATATATATATATATATATATATATATATATATCCTCACTGTTCATCTATTAAGTAACTGTATTATGTGAGTATGTCCAAATTCCTTTCGGCATAAGCTTCTATTAGACTTGTTGGTTGCTATTATATGATTAATAATTCCTTATTCATTTTCAGTTCATTAGTAACTGTCTCGTAAAATCACCATCACTTTTTGTTTTGATCTTATATGATTGTTGTTTTCTGTTACGGTGTCATGTGGTGTTATTTGTTTGTACATGATTTGTTTCGCGGAGACTGATACCAGCGTCCTGGATGTAATTGGCTGAGTTAAGAAAGGAACTATTATCCAGATAGGCAAATAGAAATTGTTAACTAGTCATATAAGTTTATGAGTCACTATCCGTATCATATAACTCGGTGTCGGTAATCGGCGATCATATCAGTTGATATAATCAGTCTAACATATAGTCACAACACTCAACATTGTATACAGTTAACATCTATCTACAGTCATCTCACGATTGCATTGCCATCATTGACATCAGTGAACTAAACACTTCCAGAGTAGTCGCCTGTCAATGACAACATGTAGTAATAATCACTTATATTAGGAGTCTAAGTGAACGTCATTTCAGTTATAGAACTAGTAACACAGCTTTATCTATTGGGATTTAGATTAGTTGACTAACAATGTTCAGAGTTTACGTGCTAACCGCTATAATAATCAACTTCTTTATTTCAATTTGTAAAGTATGCTTTTAAGATAGACGCAAATAGCGATGAGCGTGTTCATAATCTTTTTCAAATACGTATACTTATTCATCATAACTGGTGGTGACGTAAGTGTTTTATTGTAGTATTACGTCGGATACCGAGATAGAGGTGCCTGACTTTTATTTAGCGATTAATTTTTTCATTGAGCGATTTGGAATCGATTAAAATTAATGTTAGATCGTTTATCTCGTTGACTACATAAACAAATCAAGTTTCATGTGTTAGTTATTTGTTTGGGGACGACGTCTTTTAAAAATCAACAAACAAATAGTAAACTATTTCACACATAATGATCATCGACAATCTTATATATGATTACGATTTTCGCTTACCGTATCGTCAAGAAAGATTCCCATGGAGAATACAATTTTGAGTGAGTTGTTGAATGTCAATCAAAACCATCCTCTCAAAATATAAAATTATACATCTTTAAGTTTACGGTAACAGGTGTTCGGGGTCTATTGACCTCAGTGAATCATATTTACATCATCGTCTACTCTGTAAAGCTTGACAATAATACAATATATTTCAACTTGCATGACTTGTTCTGTTCTCATCCATGAACTGTGAGAGGTTTTTATGATCCTACACAGATAGTGTTCCTATTTCAAAATAGGAATTGACTAGTTAAAATAACGATTTATTCATTAACCCATAAAACAATAGTTTTTGGAATTACAATTGATTGATCACTGGGTGGTGATCAATGTCTTGCTTGTCTAGTCCTTATTAGTGCAGATCAAATGCTATCGATCATGTTGCAATGTGGCCACCAGTCTAGGTGACTCGACACTGCGGGCACCATGAATTGAGATTTAGATGGTGGTTGGAGGTAGTCAACAGGAAACCCTGAGCCCGGGTTTCGTGCTACTTGGCACTCGTCAGCAAGGTGTACCTGTAATCTCGAGGGAACTGGTGCTCCCGCAGTGCCTGGCTTGAAATGGAGTTGGCTTCTCAGCCATCTTCCCTGCGCGTCATTTTACTCCGTTCTGTTACATTCACTTTACATACAAAATATATATATTCAAAGGCCATTCTCGTTATTTGACTTATTTAATTCCGTTATTGGATAACGTGATTTAAGTCGACGATTACAAAACAAAGAGAATAGACGATAGCAAACACTCATACGATCTAAATAGGAGTCAAATCCAAAGGGACACCAAAAAATGTGTTTACGTAAGAATGTTATAGTTACAAAGTGAAAGATAATTATACGTGTTTTTTCTCTCATTTACATGATATGAAACTGGTTGTCACATCAGTATACTGTTTTTCCGTAATTGTTGTTTGTTGTTCGGTTAAATAATGGTTATTGCTTATATGTGAAGCTAAGAAATAGTTCTTTAATTTGTATTAAAAACACTATGACACATTTGAAGTAGGTGTCCA